GATCTTAAATAAGACAAGCTGTGGTTTGCTTGTTTTATAACCCAGGGTTTTTGTGCACTTGGATGTTATCTCCAAAGATTTTATTTTATTATTTATTTGAGAGAGAGAGAATGAGAGACAGAGAGCACGAGAGGGAAGAGGGTCAGAGGGAGAAGCAGACTCCCTGCTGAGCAGGGAACCCGATGCGGGACTCGATCCCGGGACTCCAGGATCATGACCTGAGCCGAAGACAGTCGCCCAACCAACTGAGCCACCCAGGCGCCCCAAGAAATGAAAATGTTCTAAGAGTCATGAGAATGAACTGAGAGCCATGGGAAAACACCAAAAAGAAGTTCAAAGGAAATAAACTATTCCAGTTTCTGGTTCCTGGGCCATGAAGCCATCACATCCCAGTTTCTACAGGTTGACAATGGTGTGCAAATAGACTGGGCAATGTGGACTTGGTATGTAGTCATTTTTTTAATTTTTATTTTTTTAAGTAAATCTTATGCCCAACAAGGGGCTTGAACTTACAAAACCAGAAATCAAGAGTCACATGCTCTACTGACTGAGCCAGCCAGGTGCCTGCCCCATAGTCATTCTTTTAAATTATGGAGCTTGTATTAACTTTTCCAGTCTGGTTCAAAACATGGTAAGATATTTTGGTAAGTGTATAGAGGGAGGGGTACATATGTTTCTTTTTGCCTCAGTATCTGATATGGCTTGGAATAGCACTGGATGGGTATTAAAATTTTTGGAGGGGGGCCTGGGTGGCTCAGTCGGTTTGGTGTCTGACTCTTGGTTTCGGCTCAGGTTGTGATCTCAGGATCCTGGGATCAAGCCCCGCGTGGCTCTGCTCTCCGTGTGGAATCTGTTTGAGACTTATTCCCTCTCCCTCTCCCTCTCCCTCTGGTCCTGCCCCCTGCTCATGCTCTCTCTCCAAAGTAATAAAATCTTCAAAAAAAATTCTTTTGAGTGGCTCAAAAGTCAAAACAAAATACAGTGAAGGGCGGCACTCTACCCTGCTCCGTTCACTTCATTCCCTCCAACCCCCACATGTAATTTTCTTGCACGTTCTTTCAGTTTTGTTTTGTTTTGTAAAAGCCGCCATACACAAAGTACCAATCTTTGCCTTTGCTGATGCTCTATATTGTGTATCTGCTTTGTATTTTAAAATTTCTCCTCTTCATTTTTTTTTAAGATTTTATTTATTTGAGAGAGAAAGAGTGCAAGTGGTGAGGGAGGGGCAGAGGTAGAGGCAGACTCCCCGCTGAGCAGGGAGCCTGACTCAGGGCCTGATCCCAGGACCTTGGCATCATGACTTGAATTGAAGGCAGATGCTTAATGGACTGAGCCACCCAGGCGCCCAATTTCTGCTCTTTCTTATGTAGTTCCTTTTACTTTGTGTTTAATTTGCTTCCACTTTTAGTCTTTCAATGGAAATTGGAATGATGGATTTTCAACCTTCTTTTCTAATGTTAGGTAGTTTAATGCAGATTTCTCTCTATACATTGCTTTAGTTGTATCCCACAAGTTTGGATATGTTGCATCTTCATTATTAGTCAAAAAATGTTTTTCAATGTCTATTTTATTTCTTCTTCTCTCTTTGGTTATTTAATGGTGTTTTCCCTTAATTTCTAGGAAGTTGAGGCTTCTTCCCCCATTACCTGTTAGTGGTATCTAGATTAATCCCACTAGTCAAAGAGTATTATATATTATTTCAACCCACTTTCCTTTAAAATTTTTTACTTGGGTTAATTAGAGGTATGGCATTTAATTTCCAAATATTTAGGGATTTCCTATCTTATTTTATTGATCTGTACTTTCATTAAATGTAGTAGAGAATATTCTCAGTCCTTTGAATTTACTGAGCCTTGCTTTAAGGCCCAGCGTATAACCTAACTTGGTAAACATTCCATGTGCACTTGAAGGGAATGTGCACTCTGAAGTTGTGTGTTCCATGTGCATTCTATAAAGTATTCTATATATGCCAATCAATTCAAGATGGTAGTGCTGTTCAGCTTTTCTAGATCTTTAATATTTTTTTGTGTACATGTTCTAGCATCTGCTGAGAATGGGTTATTAAATTTTTTTTAGACTCATCCATTTATTTTAGAAAGAGAGCACGTGAGAGCGCAAGCATGGGGTCGGGGGCAGAGGGAAAGAATCCTCAAGCACGTTTCAAGCTGAACACGGAGCCTGATGCAGGGCACAATCTCATGACCCATGAGATCATGACCTGAGCCAAAACCAAGAGTCAGACGCTCAATCAACTGAGCCAGCCAGGTGCCCCTGGAGTTTTAAAATTTCTAATTATAAAATTGTGGATTGTTCTTTTTAAAACTTTAGTTCTGTCAGTTTTTACCTTATGATTTTGGAAGCCCTGATGTGAGGCACATAATGTATTAATAACTTAAAATTATAAATCTTATTTATAATATTAACATGTCATATTTGTAACCCAGTTACACATTATAAGAATTTCTAACCTTGACGAATTGACCATTTTAACATTACAAAATGTCCTTCTGTATCTATGATGATACCCTTCTTCTTGAATTCTATTTGATCTGATATTAATATGTCCACTCCAGCTTTCTTATGATGTGTTTTCACTGTCTCTTTATCTTTTTTTTTTAATCTTTTGAACTTTCAGCCTATGTTTCTGTATTTAACATGTGCCTCTTTTACATATAGTTGGGTCATGCTTTTTTTTAAAAAATACTTTATTTATTTATTTGACAGAGAAAGACATAGTGAGAGCAGGAACACAAGCAGGGGGAGTGGGAGAGAGGAGAAGCAGGCTTCCTGACAAGCAGGGAGCCCAATGCGGGGCTCAATCCCAGGACCCCAGGATCATAACCTGAGCCGAAGGCAGACGCTTAATGACTGAGCCACCCAGGCGCCCCGTGGGTCATGCTTCTTTGTTCAATCTTGTAATCTTTGAGTTTTATTTGGAGTGTTTCTTTTACATTTAATGTAATTACTGGTATGGTTGAACTTAGGTCTACCATTTTGCTACCTGTTTAGGATTTGTCCCATCCATGCCTCTCTTTCTCCTTTCCTGCCTTCTTTTGGATTAAACATTTTTTAACATGTAATTTATTTACTCTTCTTGCATTATCATTTAATGGATATTCTATATGGATTACAGTATCATCTGTAATTTCTCATAATCTCCTTAGCGTTATTATTCTTTTTCATATTAAATGTAGAAACATTTTTTATCTACCCTTCCTCCCACCTACATCCCTTGAAGTTCAGTATTAATTTGTGCACACAACTGAATTTTATTATAATTTCAGGAAATTCTAAGATACCAACAATACAGTTGGAGTCAAAAGTTTAACTATTTGGGGTACCTGGGTGGCTCAGTCAGTTGAGCATCTGTCTTTGGCTCAGGTCATGATCCCAGGCTCCCGGGATCAAAGTAGGGCTCCCTGCTCAGCTAGGAGTCTGCTTTCCCGCTCCCTCTGCTCCTCCCCCAGCTAGTGCTAGCTCTCTCTCAGTCTCTCTCAAATAAATAAAATCTTTTTAAAAAAATTCTAACTCTTTCAAGTTCCCTTCTAGTCACTCTGTCTCTCCTGACTTCTGGTCTGTAGGTCCTCCTCTTGTTTCTTACAGTTAATATTTGCCACCATTGGGCCATGGGTAGCAAGCACAATATATGATCCTCATAGGTAAAAGTGATTGAGAAAGCTGTAACCAGGCTTAAAGGAGCACATTTAGCAAGGGTGAGGGCCAGAGCAGAAAGTATCAGGCAGCTCAATTCACACAAAGTCAGAGAAAACAAAAAAGGTCCAAACAAAAGAATCCAAAGTCAGGTAAAACAAAACAAAACAAAACAAAAAAGATGACATATAATTAGCAACAGAAAGAAAAGGCAGAAACAAGACACAAAGAGCTCTTGAGAGCCAATATAGATTGTTCTTATCCTTTCAGATGCCTGTACTTCTCCTACCTTATTGAGTTGATCCTTGTGCAGAAAGAGCCTAAATCAGTGGTTCTTAATCTTGGCTGCATATTGGAACTACCTGAGGAGTTTTTATTTTTTATTTATTTATTTATCTTTAAAGATTTTATTTATTCGGCAGAGAGAGACACAGCGAGAGAGGGAACACAAGCAGGGGGAGTGGGAGAGGGAGAAGCAGGCCTCCCACTGAGCAGGGAGCCCAATGCGGGGCTCGATCCCAGGACCCTGGGATCATGACCTGAGCCGAAGGCAGATGCTTAACGACTGAGCCACCCAGGTGCCCCATACCTGAGGAGTTTTTAAATTCCTGATGCCCAGGCTATACCGTAGTCCAAATTTAATCTGAATCTCTGGGACTGGGAGCCAGGTTTTTTTTTTTTTTTTTTTAAGCTCCTCGGATGATTTCAGTGTACATCCAGGGTTAATAAGCACTAGTGTAAATGTTTGCAAATGTGCAAGTGAACACGTGGAGCGTAGGGACAAAGAAAAAGGAGGATTTCCTGGGCTTAGATTTTTTTTTTTCTCTAGAGAAACTTTCTGGTGATTTTTCCTCTTTGTGATCCTGATCCTCCCCACTTGGCTTCAGATTAAAACTACTATTTAGACAGCCATCAGCCTCAAGTACTGTTCAGTCTGCTCCTCTGATTAGTTTTTCTATGATATCAGATGCTAACTTCTGAGTCTGTTTCTCTGACTAAACCAGACTTTCTCCTTCTTTGTTTCTCTAGGATTTTTCCTCACTCCTTCAGCTTTTTGAGGTTTGAGACTGTACCTCTTGCCCTCTTCCCATACTTAATAACCTTTCAAGGAAGAGAGCTATTTTTTGCATGACACAGCCTCGTGTTTCTGTAATATACCCTGTAATACTTAGAACAGGTCTACACAATCAGGAGAGAATACTTTTTTTTCCTTTTTTTTTTTTAAGTAAACTCTATGCCCAACATGGGGCTTGAACTCACAACCCCAGATCAAGAGTTGCATGCTCTACCAATTGAGCCACCTGGGTGCCCCGAGACTACATAATTATTTCATGAATTTACTGCATTCTATCCATCATGAATTTCTTTGTGTTGATGAAAGGCTGAACGCACACTAAAGGTTTTCTCACATTTCTTACACTTGTAGTGTTTTTCTCCCGTATGGGTTTTCTGGTGTTGAATAAGAGATGAACTCTGGCTGAAGGCTTTGTCACAATCATTGCATTTATACGGTTTCTCTCCAGTATGAGTTCTCAGATGCTTTGTAAGAGATGAGCTCTGGCTGAAAGCTTTCTTGCATTCTTTACATTTGTAAGGTTTCTCTCCAGTATGAATTCTCTGATGTCTTACAAGAGCTGAGCGGTCACTGAAGGCTTTCCCACATTCGTTACATTTGTAAGGTTTCTCCCCAGTATGGGTTCCTTGATGTTGTATAAGAGCTGAACAGTAGCTGAAAGCTTTCCCACATTCACTGCATTCATATGGCTTTTCCCCTGTATGAGTTCTCTGATGTTGGGTCAGGCCTGACCTGTCACTAAAGGCTTTCCCACACTCTGTACATCCATAGGGTTTTTCTCCAGTATGAACCCTTTGATGTTTAATAAGGGATGAGGTGTCATTGAAAGCTTTCCCACATTCCTTGCATTTATAGGGTTTCTCTCCAGTATGGATTCTATGATGTTGAATAAGGTATGTGCTTTGGTTGAAGGCCTTCCCACATTCACTGCACTCATAGGGCTTTTCTCCAGTATGAATGATGTGATGTTGGATGAGGGCTGACCGATGACTGAAAGCCTTCCCACATTCGTTACACTCATAGGGTTTCTCTCCAGTGTGAATCCTCTGATGCTGAATAAGTGATGAGCTCCGACTGAAGGCCTTTCCACACTCGTTACATACATAAGGCTTCTCTCCAGTATGAATTCTCTGATGTAGGATAAAGGCTGAGTAGTAACTGAAGGACTTCCCACATTCATTGCATTTCCAAGGCTTTTTCACTGAGTAAATGTTGCAATGTTGAATTGGGTTTGAACTCTCCCCAGTTTCACTACAATCCTCCACAGGGTTTTTCTTGCTTTTAATTATGACTTGCCTTAAATCTTTCTTCTGATTTCCTTGCTGCCTTTCTAATGTGCCTTCACATTGCCAGGCTTCTATCAGTCTGGAGTCCCAGGACTCATCCTTTTTAAGTCTCTCCATTATCAGCTCTCTTTCAGGTGACACTTCTTCATAAAGTCCCTGCTTTGAAAAGGATTCTTTAGTTTCAGGTATAGATTCGGAATCTGAAATAAATAAAAAGTACAAGTGTTTGTGTTCTCTGTGTTGAGAGAAAAAAACGGCTGAGTTGGCAAGAGGAAAAGAAAATAAAAATGATGCTTCTTAAACATGTTTTTAGAATGTTTTCAGAAAGCGCTTCCTGGCAATGGCAGAGGAAGTTTCAGGGACTAACAGAGATGGGAGAATGGCTAATACAAGGCACAATAAGAGGACGATGGGGAGGCTCTACCTAAGAGAATGGAAAACTGAGCAGACAAGTCAGGAAGGAGGGTAAGCCGGCAGGATGAGAATAAATGTTAATATAAAATATCTGAGGAAGGGTAGAAAGATTAAAACACAAGTTGAGATTGGGCAGTTTTGAAAAAGTACAAGACAAAAAAAAAATCACTTCTAATAATCACCTGGGAATAACCACTTTTTGACTTTTTAAATAGTTCCCTCTGGTCCCCCCCCTTTTTTTTGAGAGAGAGAGCAGGGGAGGGGGGGACGGGGCAGAGGGAGAGGGAGAATCTTAAGCAGGCTCGATGAAGGGGCTCAGTCTCACGACCCTGAGATCATGATCTGAGCTGAAATCAAGAGTCAGATGCTTAACCAACTGAACCACCCAGGTGCCCCACTCCAGTCCCTTTTTAAAAGCACAGATTTTTTTCATGTTTACCATACACTTTATTTTTTTTTTTTTACCATACACTTTAAATATGATTTTGTTTCTACTAACCACTGCCCCCTCCTTTCCTTCCTTCTCTCCTTCTTACCTTCCTTCTTCTCTTCCTTTCTTCCTCCTTCCCTTCCTCCCTTCCTTCTCTTTCTCCCTCCTTCCTTTCTTCCTTATTTTTTGGTCACACCCAAATTTCTCAAAAAGCTCTTGTACATTTTCTCATCACATCCTTGCTCCTGTACTCGTTGCAGTCTGGCTTCTCTCCCTACTACTCAGTTGCAACTGCTCTCACTGAAGTTACTAAGTATTTATATGTCACCCAAATCCAGTGGATTCTTTTCATTCTTTAGCTTGGCCTCTGAACAGCACTTGACAGTGGTGACAAGCCTCCCCCCAACAACACCCCCCCTCATTTTTTCCCCCAACTTTATTTGGATATAATCCTGTGATTCTAAGCTGTCCAGGTTTTACTCCTGATCTCTATTTGCTTGGGGCTTTTTCTGTTTCTTTTTAATGTTGATGCTTCTTGGTATTCAGTCTAAGATCTCCTTTTTTTGCCCCTCCCCCTCCCACACAACATTGTCTCCATTAAAGACCTCATCCAGGCCATGGTATTAATGGCTTTTTTAGAAAAATTGAAATATATTTCACATATAACACTGTGTAAATTGAAGGTACACAACACAGTAATTTGATGTATTCATATAATATGATTGCTGACGTAGTGATAACATCTCAATTACATCACATAATTTCACCTGATTATCCTCTTTCTCCTGACAGTTTGTCTTTGTTCTGTAAAAGAACTGGTGACAGGGGCACCTGGGTGGCTCAATCAGTTAGGCTTCTGCCTTCAGCTCAGGTCGTGATCCCAAGGTCCTGGGATCGATTCCCACATCAGATTCTGTGCTCAGCAGAGAGTCTGCTTTTCCCTCTCCCTCTGCCCCTCCCCCTGCTCATTCTCTCTCTCAAATAAATAAATTAATTAAAAAAAATAGACCCAATTATATACTCTCCACAAGAAACTTACTTTAAATAGGTTTTTATAAATGGAAAAAATATGCAAACAGGAAGCCAGAATGGCTATATTACTATTCTACAAAATAAAATTCGAAACAAGAAATATTATCAAGGTTAAAGAGGGACATTATTAAATGGTAAATTCACCAAGAAGATAACTTGTTATGTGTATGCATCTAACAAAAGAGTTTCGGGTACATTAAGCAAAAACTGATAAAACTAAAAGGAGAAATAGACAATACCACAATTATAATTGGAAAATTCAACACTCCTCTGTCAGTAATCAGTAGAAGCCAGTAGACAGGAAATCGGTAAGGATATAGAAGACCTAAATACTCTCAACCTACCTGACCTAATTAAATTTATTTTCAAGTTCACATGGAACATTCATCAAGACTCTATTATGGGTTATACAACAAATCTCAGAAATTTAAAAGAACTGAAATCATACAAAGTATCTCTGACCACACAGAACCAAACCACAAAATTGAAAACAAGTTTTATTGAAGATCATCTAAAATTTGGAAATCTGTAAATAACCCATGAGTCAAGGAGGAATTCACAAGTGAAAATAGAAGTTATTTTGAACCACGGAAATGAAAACACCACATATTAAAATTGTGGAATGCAGCCAAAGCAGTCCTTACAAGAAAATTTATAGCATTAAGTGTTCATACTAAAAGAGAAGAAAGATCGTATACCAGTGATTAGGCTTCTACCTTAAGAAACTAAAGGAAGGAGAGAAAATTAGACCTAAAGTTAGCAAAGGGGAAAAAATAATAAAAATAAGAGCATCAGTGAATAAAATTGAAAACAGAAAACAGAAGGAATCAATGAAATCAAAAGCCAGTTCTTTGAAAAGATCAATAAAACTATTAAACTCTTAAGAAGACCAATAAAATTAAAAAGAGAAGATACAGGTATCAGGAATGAAAGATGATAAATCATTACCGGAGCTCACTCAAGAAGAAACAGATCATCTGAATGGTCCTACATCTAGCAAGAGACCAGGATTCAAGGTTAAAAACCTTCCAATAAAGCAAACCCAAGACCCAGATGGCTTTACTGGATTGAGCTTTTGATATCATATCTAATAAAATTTTCCCTTACAAAAGGTCGCAAAGACGGTCTCTAATGGTCCCTCTAGGTTTTATACTTAGGTCTGTGATCCATTGAAAGTAACTGTGTATGGTGGGAGGTATGGATTTTCTTTTGGCATATGGATGTCCAATTGTTCCAGTACCATTTATTGAAAAGATTCTCCTTTTTAGCATTGAACTGATTTTTGCATCTTTGTCAGAAATTAATTGACCATATATGTGTGGGTCTATTTCTGGACCATCTGTTCTGTTCCATTGATTTACATCTTCCTTTCACCAGTACCACACTCTTTTGATTACTATAGCTTTAGAAATCTTAAAACCAATGTAATGAAGCTGTCCTTTTTCAATACCAGAGACAGTGAACTTTTACTTGCCAAAAGAGAAAAGAAGCCAATTCTGAGCCCAGAGTGATCAGGGATCTCCTAGGGGATTAATGCTCTGTGGATCTGAAGCAAAACTATGGCATTTTAGATGCCATTAGTTATAGAGGAACTTATGTCCCAGTAAGCAGTTTGCATTACAAAATAAGTTCCTTACCCCAGAATACCAGGCTCCCACAATTCTCCACTTTCATATCCATGCCCATGTACCTTTGGGCAGAATTCAGCTGTTCTTCTTCCACATGAGCGAAATCCATTTCCTCATCCTTGACTGTCACCAATTCCTGGAAGAAAAAGCACATTCTTACAGGACTTAGGGAGGGGAACAATCTAGAAGAGGAAGTATTTTTTAATCTGAAGGTTAAACCTTTATTTTAATGGAACAGTCTAAAATTTCTAAGTATTAGTCCATGTTAAGGAAAATAATAATAGCTAACATTTATATTTTCTATGTGCTAAGTCCTTTGAGCTACCTCTTGCAATGATAACTATATGAAGTAAGTACTATTATTAACATTATTTACAGATGTGAGGATCAGCTCTGAGATTTGGACCCAGGCAGTCTGACTCCAAAGCTATACTCGTAACTATATTTTTCTGTCTCTTACATAGTTTACTAAGTAAATCTAATATAAATTAACCACTGAATGACAACTAAATGTTACTTACTAATTATACTCAGTTGTAGGTGGGATAAGTCTCAGACATGTAATTTATACTGATTCCTGGGATATTCGGAGATTTTATAGAAATTCCGCTTGATATCCTGATTGTACATAGACAGCCATCCTGTTCTAACAGAGGCCTCTTCTTTCTCTGTACTTAGGGCTATGACTTTTAGATTTATTTAGTTATCCTTTAATAACTATGGTTGTTCTGAATGAGTGGATTTACTGATTGTAAACTGAAAATAATCAACTGTTCTTCATATTCTATGTTATATTGACAGTCATGTGGGTGTATTTTGTTGACCATAATTAACCGGAGAATACTTTGTGAGAAAGTCAGCCAATAGAATACAGTGGTTAAGGGACACCTGGGTGGCACAGTCAGTTAAGCATCTGACTCTTGGTTTCAGCTCACGTCATGATCTCAGGGTCTTAAGATAAAGCCCCACGTTGGGCTCTGCACTTGGCATGAAGTCTGCTTGAGATTCTCTCCCTCTCCCTCTGCCCCTCCCCCCGCTCATGCTGTCTCTCTCTCTAAAATAAAAAAAAAAAAAGACTACAGTGGTTAAGAGGCATAGGATTTAGGATCAGACATACCTGGGTTCTGATTAGGGTTCAACTACGTTATGATTCTGAGCAAGTTACTGTGAGCCTCAGATTTTGGTTTGGGGTTTGTTTTTTTTTTTTATGATTTTATTTTTAAGTAATCTCTGCACCCAATGTGGAACTTGAACTTAACAACCCTGAGATCAAGAGTCACATGCTCCACTGACTGAGCCAGCCAGGTGCCCCTGTGAGCCTTAGTTTTACTGTGAAATAGGCATCATCCCTAACATGATTTTTTGTTTAAAATAAATAATGTTTGGGGCACCTGGGTGGCTCAGTTGGTTAAGCAACTGCCTTTGGCTCAGGTCATGATCTTGGAATCCCGGGATCAAGTCCCACATCAGGCTCCCTGCTTAGCAGGGAGTCTGCTTCTCCCTCTGACCCTCCCCCCTCTCATGCTCTCTCTATCTCATTCTCTCTCTCAAATAAATAAATAAAATCTTTAAAAAATAATAATAATAAAATAATGTTTGAAAAGTGGCTCTAAATGATAGAGTTCCCCTGACCTCAGTCATTAGACCTCTTCTCCATCCATTCTTACATACCTATAAGCAATCTGTTATTTCACCCATATTAAAAAAAAAAAATCCTCAAAAAAACCCCACAAAAAAACCAAAAAACAAACCTTCTTTTGTCTTTCTTCTCACTATCACCCTATTTCTGTCCTCTCCTTTAGCATAACTCTCCAAAATAGTTGTCCATAGTCCCTGCCACCAATTTGTTTCCTATTCTCTCCTGAATCCTTTCTAATCAGGCTTTCATTCCTACCATTCCGTGCAATTGCTCTTGGCAGTCACCAGTGATCTTCATATTTTTAAATCCAATGGTTAATTCTCAGCCCTCATCTTACTTGACTTAGCAGCAGCGTTTAGCACAGCGGATCACTCCCTGCTCCTTGAAACACTTTCTCCAACTGGTTACCAGGATGCCACACTTTTTTTTTTTTTTTAAAGATTTTATTTATTTATTTAACAGAGAGAGACAGAGCGAGAGAGGGAACACAAGCAGGGGGAGTGGGAGAGGGAGAAGCAGGCTTCCCTGCAAAGCAAGGAGCCCAATGCGGGGCTCGATCCCAGGACCCTGGTATCATGACCTGAGCCAAAGGCAGACGCTTAACGACTGAGCCACACAGGTGCCCCCAGGATGCCACACTTTTGACTTCCCCCTACCTCACTGGCCACACATCTTCTCAGTCTCCTTTGCTGGTTCTTCTTCATCTCCCTGACCATTAAGAGTTGAAGAGCTATAGGACTCAGTAATAAAATTTCATCTCTTTTCTATTCCCTTAGTGGTCACAGTTTCGTGGCTTAAAATACCGTTCACACAGATTACTCCCAAATTCAAGGCTCGAGCCTGAGCTTTCCCCAGACTTTCAAGTCTTCAAGGAAAAATTACTTGGGTTCAGTTCTCTAGTTGGGATTGCTGTAGACCTCTGAAGCAAGATGAAAAAAGGAAACGACACACTGTGAACGCCAAGCTAAGATTTTAGAGGAGGGAACTTAAACTTGCCTGGAACTCAACAGGAAGGAGCTCGACAGTAGGTTCCATTTCTTCTGTGTTCTGTTTTTGGGGCAGAGAAGCATCCTCAGTAGTAATGGCTGGAAGGACTGGGGAGGAAAAAAGCCATGAAGGAGGTACACTCTATTCACTAAGACAAAAGCTATCACAAGCCAGCTAAGTTATATACTCAAGGCCTACTCAACTTAACTCAAAAAGATGGGATGAGGATAGAGTAAGATGATAAAGTGAAAGTGCATTGCCCAAAAATCTAAACTTGTAGACCCACAATTCATTCCTCCCTAACAGGGAGTGGAAAAGCGTGACCTTTTATCACAAAAGCAAGCAAAATGGAATATTCTCTCTTCCACGGCTATTTCTATAATTCTTACCTTCTTCCTCAGCTTCAATGGTCAGATAATCCATGATCAGCTTCTCTTTCTTTGTCCTGTTATTTCTATGACTTCCTTCTTATTCACAGTTTCAGATGAGATAAATATGAACTTTTCAGCAATACATTTGCTTCTTTGTGTAAATCATTCAACTCTACTCTGAAGCTCTGGAGAGAGATTTTTGAGGTTAGGCTCGCCATCCTCTGGAATTGGTTCCTGCTCCCTGGGGCATCTCCCTCTCTCTCTCTCTACTCCTAGGAGGCTTATTCCTATGCATTTAAGTCCTAGGGCCTCAGAAGTAATTCTTCTTTGCTTGAAACCTTTATTATTTAGGCTAAATTAATCTCCACAGCTGGAAGACCATTCTCTAGAGTACTGAGATCAGTCACTACATGCCACAACAGGACAAAACCAGGAGAGAATCAGGGCAGGGAACTGTGAGCCTCACACTTGGTTCCAGACTGTGCAAAACTCCCGTAAGACCCTAAAGCACACAACTGGCCATATGATTATGTGGCCTGTGATTATGGCCTGTGATTATGGCAGCAGTAACTATAAACAAGACTCCCACAGTTGGTTCATCCTTACTATTCATAAAGACAGGCAGTTGACAGATGGGGCCCTTATACAGTTGATTCCACACCTGCTTTTTTTTTTTTTTTTTTTAAGATTTTATTTATTTGATAGAGCGTGGGCGAGAGTGAGCAAGGGTACAAGCAGGGGGAGCCGCAGGCAGAGGGAGAAGCAGGCTCCCCGCTGAGCAAGGAGCCCAATGTGGGACTCGATCCCAGGGCACTGGGATCATGACCTGAGCCGAAGGCAGACGCCCAACCGACTGAGCCACCCAGGCGTCCCCCACCTGCTTTTTTTTAAGGACCCTGAAAATGTACAGACAGGGATTCCCTTGCATGGTCAGAGTGAGAACAAAAGACTTCACTAATTAGACAGTTAATAACTGACAGACAAAATGGCTTCCCACCTGTCAAGGGAGAAAAACTAAACTTTTAGTCAGGCTGAATGACCATGAGGAACAAAACCAGTCAGTACGGCCTAAGGTGACAAGCTGGCACAAAATTCAACAAAATTTGCAAGGAAAAAAAAAAGATGCCTGCAGCACATCCTGTTGAATGGCTGCCAAATCCTGAAACTGCCACCAGAAATAACTTATTAACTGTATCCTGCTTGTCACTAGGCACCTGAAACTTGTGGTTTGTGCTTATTTAACCCCGAGCCTAATCCTTCCCCTTTGGAGTGTACTCTTGGTTTGTAGCCAAAGGCTGCATTTCCCAGGTTTGCAAACTGCATGGCAACAAAGCTCTTCCTTGCCCCTGACCAAATCCTGGCATTCCAGGGTGGGTGTGTGTGTGCGTGTGTGTCTCCTGGCATTCCAGGCTGTGTGTGTGTGTGAGAGAGAGACAAGATTCAACCCCTTGCATTGGCTGCAAAATACAGGCAGGCCCCAAAACTCTGATAGAGCAAATCACAGAAGAGTAATGAGTGAGACACGGACACCATTTTTTTCCTTGTGTCCCCCAAGTTCAGAACCTTAAGGCTCTTGGTAGCGTGGCAAGACTTAAGGCCAAAACCGACCGGAGGCGCTCAAGCTCTCCCGCCTCTGCACTCCTGCTCCCAGAATCCCCCTGTCGGCCGCGCCTCCTCCAAGCTCCCGGACTCCACTTCCCAGAGGGCTTAGCGGCAACCGCGCTTCCGGGACGCCTCCTCGCTCAGAGCTAAACCCACAAACCCGGCTCGCCTCCCAGTCAGGGAAGCGGGAGGACAACGCAGAGCGCCGGGGAGTGAGCCCGGGACGCGTGGGCAGGGCCCAGCCCTTCCCCCAACCCCCGGGGCTGCAACCTGAGAGCCTGGCTCGGGCACTGGAGCCGCGCGCTTGGACCGGCGGGTCGTAGAGACCCGCGCCTCGGGCCCAGTTTTCTCTTACCCCTAGACGCGCTGCGGTCTCGGCTTCGGCCACAGGGCGGGTCCCCGCCGGGCTGCGCTCAGGGAAAGACGGGACGGGCGGACGGAGTCGCTTTCCGGACTCCCGGAGCTGCGGGGAGACAAAAGGCTCGAGCCCGAGGCTCCGTCTGGAGTCGCATCTGCGCACTTGGAGGCGACCGCGCCAGGTCGGGGGTCCCGGCGGAAGGACTCCACTTCCCAGAGGGCTCGGGGACATCCGTGCCCGTCCTGGGCGGGGGGAGGGGGCGTCTGCAGAGGCAGTGGAGAGAACTGCATGCCTTCAGTACCATCCTTAAGATGGAGATAATACCTCATCTGATAGGTCTCCTTTCTGAATAAGATGACAAGCTGTCGTATAAAAGCTGGGTGACTCAGTTGGTTATGGATCTGCCTTCGGCTCAGGTCCTAATCCCAGGGTCCTGGGATGGAGCCCCACATCGGGCTCCCGCCTCAGCCGGGGAGTCGGCTTCTCCCTCCCCCTTGGCTCCTCCCTCCCCGCTCGTGCTCGCTCGCTCTCTCATTTCTTTCTCTCAAATAAGTAAAATCTCATAATAATAATAATCATAAAAATAACAAAAAATTAAAAGCTGCAAATATTTTCAGTGTCTGATTATTGATTGGTGGTGGTTGGGGGTCTGTTACACAAAGTCTTTTCCTTAGCATTTCTCATTCTTACAATAAAGCCCCAAATCTGTAAACTGAGTGCTAGTGATTTTGTTGAAAGCATTCTGGCTGATAAAAACCATAAGCAGGGTTGCGAAGCCATTGTCCTGAACCACGAGATATAAAGAAAAAACATGATGCAGGAATGAGTACACAAGGAAAAGTCAGATGTGAGAAAGAGGCAACCTGGAGTTCATGAACATTGGTACTAGAAGGGCCGCTCTCCTTGAGCCAAAGAGCGACCGGATGAAAGATACTCCTTTCCTCTGTACAGAAACACTCCAGTTCTTCACTTCAAAAACCAGAAGAAATCAATTGTCCTTCCAGTCCAGATGACCATAGTCACCTGAATAGCCTCTCCACAGCTAATCCTGCCTTTCTTAATCCATGCTATTCAAGACAGCCAAGATGAACGTTGAAAAATTAAATCTGTTTATGTCACTCTCCTCAGAACCCTTCAGTGACTTCCCTGTGCCCTGGAATAAGACATAAACTCCTTAGCACAGTTTATAAAACCCTGCATAGGGGCACCTGGGTGGCTCAGTTGGTTGAGCATCTGGATCTCAGCCCAGGTCTTGATCTCAGGGTCCCGACTTCAAGCTCAGCATTGGGCTCCAGCCTGGGCATGGAGCCTACTTAAAAAAAAATTTTTTTAATTAAAGAAATAAAATATACTCGCGAAACTGCAAAATTGTAATAAGGATGACTACATTAACACATCTTTCTGTCGTGTGCTGTGTAGATACCCACAATACTACTACTATGCATAAAGACTTACAAAGATAGTCAATAGACTATGACTGAAGGCACTTCTCAGCTTGAATCTGAAAATCACAGGCAGGGGACACACAATTTACCAGCTACTCAGAAACCAGGAGTGGTTGTCACTGTATTATCATGAAAAGCAGACTTTGCTGTTTCCCCTGATTCTAACTTTTTGGAATCAGTTTTTTTGCATTTTCATATCTCTGATATCTAGAAGTACCTTCCAATTGTTGTTGGCCAGGTGCCTCTAGTGTGTAGTCATCATACTTACACCAGTACACAGGCATGCCAGAATGGGTATCAACAGAAGAAAACCTGAGAGACAATAGTGGAGCATACTTAAGAGTTGCCATAATTTCTATTCATGTTTTCTCTTATTACTAAAATGGTAACTTTATTTTTTTTTAAAGATTTTATTTATTTATTTGACAGAGAGAGACACAGCGAGAGCAGGAACACAAGCAGGGGGAGTGGGAGAGGGAGAAGCAGGCTTCCTGCTGAGCAGGGAGCCTGATATGGGGCTCGATCCCAGGACCCTGAGATCATGACCTGAGCCGAAGGCAGACACTTAACAACTGAGCCACCTAGGCACCCCTAAAATGGTAACTTTAAATTTCTCAGTAGTTGAGGTCTTAATTTTTCTGTATATAAGTTGACATATTATTATTACAAATTTCATTGATTTATAATCATAAAATAGACCTATACATTTTCCTTCTTTTCACTTATTTGCATTATTAGAACAAGCAAATTATAATTTTAAAATAAGTGTTCAATCTCTTTAGGGTAAATTTGACTCGATATTTAGAGTGTAGCATTGTTTATGTTGTTAAAATCAGTTTCAGTGTTTACATACTCTAGATTCAGACTTCTTTTTGGTCATTTTGCTCATAAAATGAATAGATCTTAGGAATGTGTTTCTATTTGATGACTTTAAAATATGAGACTACCATATCAACACTCATGAAGAAAAGCCCAAAGAAATGTTCAGGGAAAAGTAATATCACTTTAAATATTTTCATTATTAGAAAAGAAAGCGAAAAAATAAAGAAACTGACTAAATATTTTAGACTTTGGGGAAACAAAACAAAAAATTTAAGGAATCTAAGCGGAAGAAAGTAATGAAAGCATAATCCATTCAAAAATAAACAAGAGCAAATAATACTTGAAATAAGCTAGATAAATTCTGGAAACTGTGTGGTTTTTTTTAAAAATATTTTATTTATGGGCGCCTGGGTGGCTCAGTTGGTTAAGCGACTGCCTTCGGCTCAGGTCATGATCCTGGAGTCCCGGGATCGAGTCCCACATCGG